ACAGTGGTGTTTCCAGTAATAGAAGCCATTCCTTTTTCCATTGTTTAAATCCGCGTTCAAAATAGCCCTTCTCACTTTTGGAGCCATCTATCACAGCGTTTAGTAAGTAACAAAATATGTATCAACTCTTGTGGTGGGTAATGAACGTGCCCTAACCAGCGAAAGCGACGCTCTGTGATAGTACTATAGTGATGTTAATGCATTTGGTGTTTGAACAAAGATGTGTACGATAAATGTGAGAGAGATTTATCCACTCGGCGAACCCGTAAAATATATTTTAGAGTGGTAGTATGAGCGGTCAAAGGCAGATAATTTCTTAATATTCTCCACTCTCATCACATTGTCTCATAACCATATAGCAAGATCAAGCGAATCGCAGCCGTATAGATGCAGACTTTCGTTTTGATGGTGATTTCTCTGCGAATTTCTCTGCGACTCCATAAAGATTTCGTCTAACTATCGTTGTCTCGATTGTAATTTCGTCTTTCTCTTAGCCATTTAGAATTCTCCTAGAGTGGATCCAATACATTTAAGATCTGGTTCCTAAATCGGCAATAAATTGATACAATCGGAATAGAATGGCTCAGTGGGTTGTTGCTCAATTGGAAAATGCTGAGGTTCGATTTCCCACAGGAGTAAACCTAAACAAAAATTCGAGATTCGGGTGATGCTGTATTTCTATCACCAAGGGACTCCCTGGCATTTTGCCCAATGCGACAAACCAGTGGAGTTTAACCAATAATGTTGAAAACTCTTTAAAAAAAATGAAGTGATACGTATTTTATCAGCTTCTTGCATATAAGACAAGGTTTTTTTATTTGCATTGATCCTGAGCCGGATTCACGTTGCATTTGACGCATTGTTTAGCGTTATTACAACTGTAAGCAAAAATGTCTACGTCATCTGTGCATTCAAGGTCTCTGATACTGTGCTGTGGACTATTTTGTGCATCTCTTGACACCGACAAGCGATTGTCCATTGTCCTGAATATTTTATCATATCATATAGTTAAACATTGTAGGGGAAAAGGAGCAGCCTTGACGAATACCAGTTATTTCGAAAGAATTTCCTCATATATACACGCCTGTGGCGATGTACATTGGTAAAATACTTTTATGACTCGAGTAATCTTCTTTCTACGGAACATCGACACATTCCATTGCCTTCCAAAGTGCTGCTCTATCAATTGAATCGATGGCGGCTGCGAAATCATATTATTATCTAATCTTAATATTATCTAATCTTTTTTTTTGAAGAGTTCGGGAGTTTTATTGGCCTTAAACTTCTCGATAACGGAGATTATTTCCTGTTCTGCTCGCGGCTTGCAGTTGCAAACTATTGCTCGATGAGTGATTCAGCTACGAGTGATTCTGGACATGGCGCATCGTGGTTAATTTGGCCTCAAAGAATTCTTTCTACCTTATAGGGCGATCCTTATTAGCTTTAACAGTCACATCATTACTATCCCGTATCATTCCACTGGTCATTCCTCGAGTTATGTTTGAGTTAGTTATCTTATTCTCAAATCTAAATTATCGAATGAATTATTTTAAATTCAAATAATATCTGTGATTTATTCAACAGCGATATCAACACTGAACTACGATTTATTGTTCTATGAATTCTGGAAGTCAAATGTTCAACTGAATTTATCGACCCATTGGAAATCCAGTGGAAGGTCCCTTGCTTCTTTTTAAATCATTTCTGGTTTTCTGGTTAATTATACCTATTTGTCACGTAGTACCAATAAAAGTTTTCTCATGCAGATACGCAGATTATGTGCAAATCTATGCCTATTAAAAGTATACAGCAACCAAATTGCCATTTTAAATGAAACGAAAGCACAATTTAAAAATTTTGGATTCTGAGTGGAGCCAAATTTTTGGAAATATTGAGATTCGTAAAGGGCGTTAACATTCGTTTCAATTCGCGGCGCTGCCACTGTATTCGTTTCTCTCGTTGTTGCAATGCTTATCTTAATCTTCAATACATTATTACTCGTCGAAGCACAACTGACAAGTAAGTGTTATAATTTCCCTTAAAGAATTCCATAAACCTTGATGGAATATTGGTTCTAAAAATTTCTACTATACGTTATGTATATGGCTTTGATAAATGTGGAAATGATACAATTTTTTAAAAGGTTCATCTATTTATGAGTTTTACTAGGAATTATTTTGGCTTGCACTTATTTAGAACTATCATTTGTTTATTGTTATTTAAAATTGGCGCGTTTAATCCGGGAATTAAACTGTTTTTTTAAAATATTATTATTAATTTATGCTGCAAATTATTTGAATCTAGCAACTAGTTGACACTGGAAGGACTGTGTCAGTAAATGAAAATCTTAGAGTGGTTTTTAGAGGTCGGTGCTTATCTATATCTGGTGATTCTCTGGTGAAAGAGCCTCACACTATGACAAGCAAATCCAAAACGGTACGTGGTGTTAAAAGAAAAATGTTCTAGAAGCTCTGAATGTTTTTTCTAAGAGCGCACACCAGTATTGATCCTTCGACTACAAAGATAAGTCGTTTATTTTGCCTATAAAATATCAAACTGTATTTCAGCCAAAACACGCGATCAAAACACGACTGTAGAGGAGGAATTAAGCAAGCTTGGAATCAACGATGAACATCGTTTATTTAAGCATATAACAAGTGATTACGATATATCAGTTCGGCCAGTTATTAATGCTTCAACAGTTGTTAACGTCTATATGGGCCTAACTCTAACACATATTTTCAATATCGTAATTTTTTTCAGTATTTTCTAAGAATTCCTCTATTCTTAGTAATGTAATTTTAACTTAATAATATCCAGAATTCCCAGCGAGGTATTTTAAAACCTGGAAAAATACGGCTATCTAAACTCTTTATAAATTACCATATCCAGTTACTGAATTCAGCTCTGCTTTATATGCTTATTGCACGGTACTACCATTACAAGACTTGATATATGATCTGAACTTGATTCTGGCTTATTTAAGAAACGCAAAAATATATAAAAGTTTCCAGCAAATTTTCGCTAAAAGTTTTTTCATTTTCTCCTTGAATTATGTAAATTCATGAATAAAATTTGTCCAATGCATTAGAGTTGACTATTCGTTGGTCTTTCGAAGTAAGTTTGAGTTTAAATTTGATAATTAGCGATTTTTTGAATGCTATCAATTTAATCTGCAGTTTTTCTCTTGCTTTGTACATTCCAATTTAATTCAATTTAACTTTTTGCCATGTTCCTTATTCCTTACTTTCACGTTTTTCCATCATCTTTCACCCTTTTTTCATTAAAAACTTAGTTTGTGGTGTTTAAAAAGCAATTGAAGGCCTAGGCTTATTAGCGAGTTTATACTCACCTATCCTGTCTCCAGTCAAATTTTCTTTTAAGCTTGTTAACTTAAGTTTTTTAAAAATTAAGCTTTAAATTAACCACTGATAGTTGAATTTGGAAAAAATTTTCGTAACTGCGATATTAAATTAATGCAATCCTCATTAGAAATTATCATTTTTTACTGAGATTTTTATCGTTTTTCTTAGTTTTTTTGTTAAAAATTGGTTGTCAATTTTATAATAGCTATAATAATCTATAAATTTTGTAAAAATAAATAACTATAAACCTCAGCGAAATTTGAATGATTATCATTAGCGTTTTTTAAGGAAAAATCTTATGAGTGACGTTAAGGAAAATCTGGTGAAAACCTGTTTATCTAAAATGTGAATTGAAAATTTTAACGAGCAAATCCATATTTAAAAAAAATGAACTTGCAAACAAATCTAATTTGAAATTTTGCCAACGAATTTATTTTATTCTTTATTCAATATATTTCAACTAGTGATAAAAAAAGCAAGTATTTATCCAGAAATTGACTGAAAATCTGTACGCATTAATTAGTTGAGTATTGATGTTAAGTATTGATGTTGCTTTTAGAATGCTAATTAGTACAATAAAAATCCGAGGAAGTAAATTGAGGTCGCTAGCATAGAATTTAGAATAGAATAAATAAAAAATAAATAAATAAATAAAATTAGACTAGATTATGTGATGAAATGGTTGAATCGTTTCGGCTATTGCAAGTTAAAAGCTAAGAATACAAAAGATTTTACAAACAATTTAAAGAAATTTAAAATTCGCTAAAAGTTTAACAGAAAAATTTAGAGTCCGTTGAAGTTTTACAGCAAGGAATGTGGATTTCCTGATTCTTGGAAGGTTCTTCTTGCTTAAAAAAGCTCAGAAATGACCACGAAATCAATTGGAAAAAACTTATTGTAAAACTTATTAAAACTTAATTGAATTTTTTCTTGCGCCAAAATTTTCTGATAAATTGTGATAATCTTATTTGTTATGAAATCACTTCAAATTTCAGAACACCTTTCCATAATCTTTTTTAACAGCCTGCGCCATCTCTGGACATAAATTTTCCGGATTTGATTCAAACTAATCGAATTGTAAAAAAGGAGATACTATAATAATTTTTAATATGAAGATTTTCATAAATCAATTACCGAGGGAATTTTGGAAGAAATAAATTTTTTTTGATTGAAATTTCATCAAATTGAAGCTTTAATTGAACAAAATTTTTTCATTCAGTTGTTTATTATAAAACTATTTATACACATTATGCAATAGAAAATTGTTCATTCTCTTTCTTTTTATTTTATTTTAGCTTTCGCCATTTCTCGTTGGCTCCACTGGAAACTAGCATGAGGCCATTTGACCGTAGCATCATTTGAAGTACAACTAAGTCAACTGCATCACCAGATGTCATCTTTAACCACAGGTTTAGAGAAAGTCAGAAAAAGCTTAAAACATTTTTCGCATTAAAATAGACTCTACTGGAAAATAATTGATGCTAAATTAATATTGAGCTTAAATAAGTTAAGGAAGGTCCTTCTTGCTAAAAAAAACTCAGAAAAGACCACAGTTAACTGGGAAAACTTATTGTGAATCTTGCAAATTCGTTCTTCGCTAAAAATTTGTGATAAACTGTCATAATCTTATTTAATATGGAATCACTTCAAGTTCACAACATCTTGTCATAATTTTTTTTTAACAACCTGCACCATTTCTGGTTCGGTTAATTCCATTTGTTGCTAGATAAGAAGTTTTTAAGCTTGGCAAAATTCTGCCCTAATATTATGTCCAATTTTTATTATAATCTCCAATTTCATTTTGAATTTTCTAAAATCATAAAGGCATTTAATTGCCATCTTTGCATTTTTTTCTCGAAATTGTTTTTTTAATATTTGCAATAACTTTTAATCTTTAATTTTAATTTTTGATCACTAAGAACGTATAACTTCTTGCTATCATTTCATTCGTTATCATTTATTGAGGATGAAAGGAGCCAAGTACTGACTTTAAACGTCTGGGTTGAACAAACTTGGCGTGATGAAAGGATTTCTTGGGATCCGCAGGACTATGGTAATATCAGTAAATTAACGGTTGGTACACAGCACCTCTGGATTCCCGACATTGTGCTTTATAATAAGTTAGTATTTCCAAGAAAATATGGCTTTAAACGAAATGCACGAAACCAATCTGATTTTTTTCTAATACTTTACTTTTTCTCATACCGTAACAATATTATCAATTATCAATTAAATTATCAATTTTTTGTATTTATTACATTTGAAATTTCAATTTCTTGCATTCATTCAGATTAGCTATAAACTTGAACGTGGAATTTTTCATATATATCTATAGTCCATGGAACTAAAAAGCGAAAAAGTACAATTGATTCATAAAAGGAACAGTATCAAATTAATCCTTTATTTCTTTAGTGCTCGAGATTTTTCACGTGGATTCGTCAATACAAATGTTCACGTACGTAATAATGGCGAATGTGAGTCCTTTTTCTCAAAAGTAAAATGGATTCAAATTTTTGTCCAGTTTGCATAAATCACCATTGTTTCTAAAGAAAATTAATGAGAAAATTATTAAAGATCTGCAAATGACTTTCTGGTACTCTCAGTTTCCTTACAAAATCTTATGATCATTTTCACTATGAATTAATTTAATTTTTCCATTTAATGACTGAAATTTAGTTCATTTTTTTTTCTTTATTCTTTATTTATTTACAGTACAGTGGGCTCCACCAGTTAAAATATATTCAATATGCGAGTTAGATGTTACATATTTTCCCTTCGATGATCAATTTTGTTCCTTAGAGTTTGGATCGTGTAAGGTTTTATCACTTGTCATTCAATTCTATCATAGATTCTCACTATCCATTATAAGGCTAATTATAGGTGCTAGAAGAACATGAATATATAGATTTTAAATTTGAACTATGTATGGGATATATATTTCTATGTAAGATAACGAAGCCTTCAGGGCCAAAATATCTGTTAAAGCTCACCATTTTCGGGAAGTCTACCTCTACCCGTTATTTGTGCGAATGAAGATAGAACTACAAGTGAACCCCACCAACATGCGCACTTTTAATGACAGATTGACCTCTATTTGAGAGAGGTTTCTGTATTAAAATGTGCTGATGTTCCTATACTAAGTCAGTGTTCGAATTCAGCTGCATTCTACTTAAACTACGTTAAATAAAAAATAATAAAATGTGAAAAGGGCGAGAAGCACTCGAGTTCTAGAAAGCTGAATTTGCATTTTAACCGCCTAACTGCTCCATTTTAACTATTTAACTATTATTATAGGAGCTATATCTTCTTCCAGGATCGATCGCCATTTTCGATTTGACTGGTTGCACTTGGTTAGCATTGACTGCTAGACGCAACCTTCCGTCGGAGAACCAATTGACCGAATCCATAACCACGTCTGATCCTTAATCTGACCACAGCATAAATCTCGATTAATTCATTCTAATCATTTTTCCTTCTTGTAAACATTGCATATAACTGCTACTTTTCCATTTTACAGGGATATATGATCAATCGCAGTTGGACGTGCAAATCCTCGAAAGACATGGCGAGAAAGCACCATTCACAAAAGATTCATTTATAGAGAATGGCGAATGGGAGATTGTGGCTAACCGAACTCGAAAAGTTTTAAAGGGTCGACATTCGCTTTTTCCAACAATTATCTTTGAACTTCATCTTCGACGTAGAGTTTTATACTTTCTCTACAATATTATTGTCCCCTGTGTCATGTTATCCGTTAGTTTTTTTGGTTCTTTGTCCTTACATAAATACCTTAAAAATTAAAATTCAATCGACTTAATTTTATAGTTATTTGTTCAATGAACTGGAATTTGTTCAATAGTTTTAGAAGTGTTGAAGTGTTTCTCATGGACTTTAAAGGAATACGGCGAGGTTTATTATAGTTACGGAAAACCAATGAGCTTTTGGAGGCATGGAGAGCTACAACAAGTTTCGGGGTAGCTTTTAATGGATTGCAGTGGAGCCCAGAGGAGCTAATTTGACTATAAAGTCTACATATTGTTTTCATCTGAAGCAAACATCAAATATCACTTACTAAAACAGTAAATAAGAAGGACAATTTATAGTTACTAACGATGATGCAATTTATATTACCGTGTGAAAGCGGTGAGAAGATAACTCTTGGATTAACCGTTCTTCTCGCCTATTCCGTTTTTAGTTTCAATATTGCCGAAAATATGCCTGAAACATCAGATGTTATACCACTTGTTGGTAAGTTATTAAGTCCTTCTAGCACCACTCACCATTTCTAATTTGGCTTATTTCACCACTGAACACTGTGGTAAAACACTTTCGCCAGAGAGACAACTGACATTGCACGGACAAGTGGTTTTCCGACATTCACTCGTTCATATATCTATTTCAATAGGTTTCAACTCATCGGTATTGGAATAGAACTCCGCCACCAATCGAAGCAACATACTGCTGAACAACTAAGATTATAATGAAGACTAATTTCAATTTAAATAAATAAATGAATTACGCGCGACAGCCGAGAACAATTGCCTCGATTATGGTTCTCTGCAAGGAAAATATTATCATTTTAAAATCCTGGTGCTGCTGGAGACCTACCTATCCTTCTAAGTGGCAAATTTGATTTCTCTTCTTAATAATAAGCCAGTGGTACGAACCTAATCAACAGTGAGAGCTAACCACTTAAATATTTAGAATGGCACCTCTGGTTTTACAACTGCATTCATTAAAACAATATCGATATCGACAACAATATCGACTTTCATATAATAAATTTCAGCGATTTATTTGATGGGTATAATGTTTATATCTGGGTTGAGTGTTTGTTTATCGGTCATTGTCTTGAATATTCGACATGGTGCGGAACGCGGTTACAAGTCTGCTTTTTTTTCCAGTCGATTTTTACGCACCTTTAATGCAAATGAGTGCCCAGTATTATCAACACGAAATAATTTGCAAGATTCATACCTTAACCATCAACAAAAATTTGCTGCAATTTTAAACATTAGTTAGCGAAACTTAGCTATAATTTTCAATAAATTTAGACCACCAAAATGGCTAAAATTTATCGCTTATCGAATTTTAAGCCGTTTATTTTGCAACGCAACTATTCTCTCAAAACGAAAGCTTATTCAAAAAGAAAGTCCTCGTGATCTCTTAAGTCGGATATTGGTAAATTCTTGCTATTGCTTTGCATGTCTTTCGTCAGGCGAAAATCGGTGACATCATTCTCCACTCCTTTAGACGACTCCAAAAAGTACTGTCGAGTATCAGTTAAGGACTTTTTCACCAGAGTCAATTGATGATAAAAAAACACATAGGCCACCCACCAGCAGTTATCCAACACATTGACTCATCTGTGGCGAAAATTTCAATAAAAATACAAAATTTAAAATTTAACTTAGCCAGTGCGATTTGAGATGCGGAAGGGATTTAAAATTTATCAAAACTTTTCAGTTGGAACACATTGAAGCCGAGCAAAATCAAGGAGAATTAGTGCAACAATGGCGCGAAATGTCAATCATTTTTGATCGCTTTTTCTTTTTTTGTATTTTTTTATTAACTGTAGGTACAACTGTTACACTCCTTTTGCTTGCACCACGTTTTAGTCATCGGCAATTTATCGATATTAAAAAATAAAAGTTTTTTGATTCCTCAAAGTTTATTGCTTTCAGTTTTGTCTCGCGCCATATGCAAGGAAAAATTTCTTGTTGAATTCAAAACATTTCATAAATTTGCATTTATTTTCCTGAAGATAACTTTTTCATGACATTCAGCAATAAAGTTCAGAAGATGTAAGAAATGGAATTTCTATCTCATTTCAATTTAATTTTGTAGAAAACACTTTAATAAAAAAATTTCAAAAAAGTGCTCATTTTTAACGAATAAATTAAAGATTTCAAAAAAAAACGAATCAATTAATTAATTCAAGAATTAATTATTAATTTAAATGAAAAAACAAATAATTGAATAAAAAAATGATAATCATTTTCGATAATCATTTTTCATTTTTTATGGCTATTTTCTATTTATAATCATATTTTTATGGCAATACTGAAGTCATAATTTTATTCTAACGTTGATCTAAAAAAGAAATTCTAGGGAAATAAAAGAAATAACAATTAACAAAATGACGATAATGAATGAAACTTTTTTTTTATGATAATTGGCGGCCAAGTCTTGTCAACTGCAATGTTCAGAGATTAAAATACATAAGTGCCAAAATACTCTCAATATCAGCAAATATATTTATAACCTATGGAGAATTTTTCTTTCTCTATTCTGAACGATTAATATATGAAAATAATTATTTAACTATTAATTTTTGTAAGAGAATAAGAAAAAATTGTAAAATTAATTAATCAGGAAAAAGCATTATTATACAGCTTAAAAGATCCCTAAAATAATAAAAGATTATAGATTATCTTAAGACCATTTTCAAAACGAATTACCTGATCAGCGAATTGTTTTGGAGTAACGAGCTCTGTGCAACCATATGTTATTCTAGCCAATCCTTTTGATTTACTATATTCCACTATATTATGGTATTCAACATAGTTTCCACCACCAATTACAAACACGATTACGTCTTGCACATTTGAGCCCATTCGACTTCTTTGCGCTCTAAAAACCGGAAAAAAATTTTGAAACTCATTAGCATTTTCCACTTCTACGACTAATTAACTAACTTACTCTTTATTTGAATACATTAATTTGGGGTCAAAATATTTAGTTTCGTCATCAAAAGATCGAGTGCCTCCTTGTGACGTACCAGATAAGATAGAATCAAGCATCTACAAATTTCATCCAATTTATAAAAATAAATCATCCACAAACTTTAACAACATAAATTATTTTTAATCTTTCGAGGAAACGTCAAATAAATATGAGTGTTCCATTTGTTCTTCGAAAATTAAAAGATGCTTGCATAAAACATAGGCATATAAAATTAAATCAGCAACAAACCTTTGTAAGAGGTAAATTATGTTTTTTTGGGACAAGATTTTTTACACCTTCCATAAATAACTGAGAACCTCTATTCAATAAATTTGAGAACATACTATCCGTTTTCGTGCCAGCTCCAGAATAATCACCGGTTATCCGATTCATACTCGAAACACTTCTGAAAAGTAAGAAATATAAATGCAAAAAGTAATGAGCATCGAAAAAATTTTCTTAATTTTCTAAATATGGAAATTGAGAAACCTATAGAAAAAAAATAACCACGATATTAAATGGAATCATAAAAAATTGAAAATTTCGATACTTTAACTGTTTTATGAATTTCACAGCAGAATCATCAATTCCTATTTCCTTCAAATATTTGAGTTGTTCTTGAATATCAGCCTAAAAAAACAAAAAGATAAAAAATGAAATTGGATTTAAAAAGCAAATAGAGGTAAGAGATAATAAGAGATAAAAGTAAAGATCTAATAAGTAAGAGAAGTTTAATCAAGAAAAAGATTCTAAGCGATCAAGGAACTGATGTAAGAAAAAAGGAATAATACCTCATTCACATTAGATGAACATAAATAACTAATCATCATAACACGCAAAGCATCTTCCCCAGTGCAATTTCGCATTAGTTCAATTAATTGGGTACTACTGGCTTGATTATTCATTATCTTTTCCTCAGCTTCAAAAAGTATATCCAATTTGCTACAAAAATTCACTATAAAATATAACATATAAAAAAATCCGCTTTTCATTCCCTGCTGATGTATGTCATTCTCAAACAAAAGCCTGGAAGACTGAGGGTTCTGCGCAGCATCTTAGCTGCTCCAAGCAGTGCATTCTTTTGAAAAGAGTTCTCTGATATTGTTCTTGGAATGGAATCTGCTTAAGTCACTTTTTTAGCTTAGTGGTCATAATTCCTAGTTACCACTAGAATTATTCAGGCTTTAACTTCTCACATTCTCCTAGTCCTCTTTCAGCCCTTGATATTTCTTGACATTTCTCCTTCCCGATTCTCACCTGTCACTTGACTATTATACTTTTTATCAATGCTAATTTCTGGTTCTTTCTACTGTCATGATATTTAGTTAGTTGATCAGTAAATGTCTGCTATCTGGATAGAAAAGTCCCACACGATCTTTATTATTCACACAATTTTCTCAGCAATCTCTTATTTAATCTTCGGAAGACTTAAATATCATATAATGAATAGATATTCTTATAGATAATGCCAAATAATTCGTTCAGTGTATGCTGTTCCATACTTAAATCTTCTTCTTATTCTAACAGTTCTCACCATTACTGGTTAGATTGGCTCCAACCGCTACAAGGGTAAGACGCTTCCAAGCGATGCGGTCTAATGCCATCGTCGACAGTAATAGAGACCATTCCTTTTTCCATCGTCTAAGTCCATATATTGCTGGTCCACCTATACGTTCAAAATCTTTCCTGATCGTAGAGTCCAGGTTTTAAATCTTACATTCAGAATGTATGTGTTGGATAGTTTCTAACATATTTGTACATCTGAATTCTGAGCCTCGTTTGACGAATCCCCCCTTCGAGAGAGTTATTGTATACAGGAATATCTGCTAATATATGGCTAAAATTCTCCTAAAACTAGATGGAAAATTCTACAGAAATTTGTGGAGAATTATAAGCCTAATTTTGTAATGAGATCTTGTGGAGCTTTTCCATCCAGAAAGGTAAACAAGTAATAGCCAATCAGCCAGACAATGTGGTAGCCCAAGGCAAAGAACCAGAAATAAGTTTAATGATAGATATAGCAGTACCAAGTGACAGAAATGTTAGGAAGAGAAGCTAAAGAGATGTGGAGAATGAAGGCCGAAGGGTAATCCCATGGTAATTACAAGCATTAGGAGCCGTGACTCCTAAGCTAGAAAAGATTCCAGAAATGACATGAGAGATCTCTGTCCAGAAGAGTGCACTGCTACGATCGACTAACGGATACGATCTTGTAAGCCTCTGGTAGAGGACTCAAAGTTGCGGACCCTTATCACCCACAAGAGATGAGAAAGGGATTTTTTATAAAATATAATTTATTAACGGAAGACAATCATTTTGAACTTTCAATAACGAATGCAAATAAATAACAAAATTTGCCTGAATATATATCTGGCCAGCCAAAAGATTCAAGACATTTAAAATAGTGGAACTTAGAAAATAAAAAAGAATTTATCAAAAGCTTATATTGCCCAAAATCAGCGAACTTTATTTTAATAGACCAGAAAAAGACTAATGAAAACCGTTGCTTAATTTGATCCAGTATAACAGTTGCAATATTAGTGTGCATATCGATCAAACGTTTTTTTCCCAATAAATCTGGTAAATTTGCAGTTGCATCAGTAAGCAGTCGCACTGTTTCATCGTCCACTCCCTTTAATCGAACAACAGAAATTAAAAATGAATTATGCCATCTATTGTTGCAAATCTTTTGAATATTTTTAAATTCTCCTCACCATAGAATATTTTAACCGCGTAATTTCATCTCCACTATTTTTATACGCTTCAACTTCCTGTTGAATAGCTTCAGCAACGAGTGGAAATGGACTGCCTCTATGTTCCAACCACAATTTATCCTCCATAATCATATCATACTCCTTTTTCTTACCTGATGCATCTACAGTAACCACGCGATTTTGATCCAAATCCTGTAGAAAATAAAATTAATATGAATATTTAATTAAAATTTTTAATTTATGATTCTCAGAATACAGAATATATAGAATAAATATTATTTTGAAATAAATTTAAAATCCTATTGACGAGAAATTTCTGAAAATTGGCAAAAAATTTAAACCTACTAAAAGATCGTGTATCAGAGCCTGATAAGTCCAGGTATGATGCAACATTGTGGCGAGATCAATTGCCCTATCGGCGATAAATAACAATGGTCTATGGAGATTTAGCATACTAGCACGAACATTTTCCTGAGCAAACAAATTGTTACGGGCATCTCGCAAGTTTTCACGGATTTTTTGATCCAATCGCTGAAAAAAACTTCCAATATCTCAGAGAAAATCGCAAAAAAAGGAGGAGCAAAGGAGCACATTAAGTTGAAAATTATCAAAAAAATAGTTAATAAAAACTAGACTTAAAAAGAAAAAAATAAAAATTTGAAAAAAATGAATCAATGTAACAAATTTTTTAAAAAATTTACTAAAAAATTATGCAGATTTAAACAAGAATCGGAAAAAATCAATTTATCTTAGAATATTAGCGGTAAAAAATTCAAACAAGTAAAAAGTGACAATAATGCTTGGTAGGAATACTTAAATTATTATTTTTTAATATTTGACGATAATAAATTTAAAAAAACGTAAAAAGAAAGATAAAAAAAAAGATGAAACTTTAAAGTGATAAAGTGATCTGAATTTAATTACCACCAATAGACTTTGGTTGAATTTATCGTTAGAAATTAACCAACCATTGCCACTTGCTCTGCAGCGTTATCTCTGAAACAACGAATTACTGGAACAACACTAAGCGTGGCACAAACGGAAAAAAGACCATCAACGACTCGATCTATTAAATCTTCCATTTGCTGATTAGTCGTAGAAGGATCACTGATTGCTGAAATTCATTTAATAATTTCACATCTCAAACTCAAAATATGTAAAAAATATAAAAATGTGTAAATAAACACGTTAAAAAATTAAAAAAAATTTCTGAAAAAAATAAAGATGGCAAAATTATATTATAGCATTCTCAAAAAAAGAAGTAATATTCAATAAGCAAACATTTTTGGATAATAAAAATGATGTGAAACTATAGCAATATATATTTAAAATTAAAACCAAAATTTAATGAAAAATTTAATGAAAATTAAAGGCTAAAATTTACCAAAAAATGAAAAAGGACTATTTTCGTTATATCTGCGAAGAACGAATAAATCATCATCCAAAGATATAAAACTAAGAAACTGGTCGACAACCTAAAACACTAATTATTATATTTTTTTATTGCAAAATTCCAATAGTAAAATAGATTAATTTTAGGCATTTATTTCCAGAAAAAGTGGCGATCAACGTGATGACCTGTATAATAAAAAAGTGGTAATAAGAAAAAATTACTAAACCATCCATGCTGTCACAGTTTTAAGCAAAAATCATCCAAATTTGCCAAAAAAAAGGAGTTTATTTTGGCAAAAATATTTCACATATCTAATTTTTTAAAAAATTTTTAAATAAATTATGACCTCTAATAAATAAAATTTCCGATAAATGAATTTTGAAAAAGCTTGAAACTGAGAATAATTTATAATAAGATAAAAAGCAGCAACAAAAAGTTCCAAATGTAACCTTTTGAACTTGTTGTACTGCTCCACTCTGCACAGCTACAGTTGCTAATTTTTCAAGACGTGGTCTGCTTATAGGATTTATTGCATTCAAATAAAAACTTTCGTAAATTCGCTGAAGAGCTAATAAAATAAAATCGTTCTAAGATTTTCAAATCCAACACAAATATACAAAAAATAATTTAACTACCAAATTTAAAAATAAAATAACACCAATTTATGCTTTAAATGTTAAAATAAAAGACAAACTTTACTCAAATCGTCGCATATTAACTGCACATTTTCATCGTTTGGTGTGAAGAAATAAACGGCCGGTACATCTGGTAACGCTTCTCGACGAGTATCGAGTAATCTTCAAATTTATTTAATTAAGGAAATAAAAATCAATGAAATAAAAAAAAATAAAAATCAAAATCAAGACTAAATGAATCTTCCTTTTTCCTAACTGACGATCTGTTTTGAGCTTGGATCTTTCTGCTAGAGAACATAATAGTTGAAAAGAAGGAGAGGAAAATCAGAAAAAAAACTGGATTTTTGAACTTACAAGTGAAGAGTAACACCGAGGTCTCTCAGCTGCTTAACGGATAATAGTGGCGATATAATATCTTGACCATAACGATCGAGTATCAAAATTTTCCATACTGGTTCAGTCGCCAACGAAAACGATACTGGTTGATTTAAATTTAGCAACTGCTTCACGGATGCTGTAAGGATTTATTTTAAAATAAGTTTATTAAATCAAGAAAAAAATACAAGGGAGTTTTTTTCTCCGATCTCCGAAGGGAAAAACCTTTCTATTAATGAGGCACATAGGGTCAGCAGCAGATTTTTAAGTGATTTATAATGACAAGTCTACTTTCGTTTATAGATAATGGATCGAAGCATTCCAGTTTTTTAAAATGATTTTAAAAAAATTCAAAGAGACCTATTTGACGATTTCTTATTGTATCGACCCAATCACTCTGAACCATTTTGCTGAAAACTTTGCAGAAATAAAAGAAAAAACAAATTAATAAAATAATAATACATAACAGTTCGTGATAAGAACTATAAAAATAATTGGTTGATTTCTTATCAGTCAATTGCTGCTGTGCGGATAGTTACAGCAATTGTTTATAACTCGACGGAGTCAAAATGAACCATGTCCATTTGACATTTGACCAATTCCTTAATTCAAGTATCACAAATAACTGACGACGCGCGCGCAAATGACAGATCATTGACTATAAAAACCCCAAATGAAATTACGTTATGTAATCGTCACCACTGTTTAAAAGGCAGCTTCCTCATCGGAGACTGACTTTTACCGCGAGCATTTAAAATATTTTAAAATTTTTGGAATTTAAAAATTTTTGCCAATAATTTGGTAGGCCAGTAGGTGGCAGACGAGATCTTTCATTGGTAAGGATATAGAAGAAAAGGAACTCGCATGGGGCTCAACTGCTGTGGACCACATGACCGATGAGTAACCAAAGATTTTTATTCCTTTAATTTATTTTTAACGCCGCTAAAGCTTTTCAAACTTTGGTTAAAGATGGGTGAAAAGTGAATGACAGTTCTTTTTCTAACCGCACCCATCTTGTCCTACTGAAGTTAGTGGTTGTTCCACCACTGGATGGTTCCATTGGCCGGTCGCTTGGAGGAGATAAAGGTACAACTGTGGATCCCAAGTTCCGTTAATATTTTAAGGCTTACTCTTGTATCGAACCTGTGCACCATGCCTTCAGCTGAAACAATATGCCATTTCGTATTTCTCTCTCTTTCTATTTCTTGCATTGAATTGATTGTCTTGCGATAGAAATTCGCAGAAATTTAGAAAAGTACCGATAACTGAATCTGGACATCGCGTCAGTTTATTTAAATTCATTAAAATTGGACACAAATAAACAGAATTCTCTAATTTAGTTTAATTTCGGATTTAAGTTAAATAAATTTTCAATCCCGAAAATCAAGAACGAAAGAACTGAAGAACGGGATATTTCGAAGAGAATTTAGGCGATCTCGCGTAGTTGAGAAAGAGGTGGCTGCTTCAGCTAATTTCGAGTAACGTTGTTGGATCGCGGGGTTAGAAAAGAGTTATAGCAGTTCGCCTAGCCAGCAGCGGTCTGATAAAGAAGATGGATTAGTTTGATGCGCAAGCAGTCTTTTCATGAGAATTCTCTTGTAAATCGTTATAAAATCTTTAATTACTCGTTTGTAATTTTTTTTGCTTTACATCCATTTCCTTGTCTGTTGAGTCCCTTTGCTTTTTTCTGCTTTTTCCTTAATATTTTGTGCCGATGTTCTCATGAAAATAAACTGTAAAACGTTTATTTTTTAATTTTTGGACAGATAGGCTTATATGTAATGTGAGATAACGCATGTGAATATTGCCATGGAGCTAATCATCGCAGAGGAACTAATTGTTGAATTGTATAATCAGTGATAACCGTCAAAGTGTTTATAAGATACTTACATTTTCATCATATTTTAATGCAGAAGTCTCACATAATTGCATCCACCTTCGCTCAGATACCCACCCACATTAATATTACCATCGCAGAAAGTTGTTCTTCGATCATTGGAATACATTCTTCATTGTCCATTACTGGAGCTGAGGCATATTTCGCTTCTTGTGATAAATGGCATTAAAAGCGAGGAGGACCAGTCAAGACCTGTACTGATACAGTCAGGAAAGATCTTGAATATATAGAGATTTCAGTGATATATGGATTTAGACGATGGAAAAAAGAATGGCTTCTATTACTTAAGAATGGCTTCTGTCGATGATGGTCGAATAGTTTGAAGATGTAGCCAACCGAGCTAGTCTAACCAGTAATGATGAGAACTGTTAGAAGAAGAAGATTATAGAGGTCTGATTATAACCCATTGCACGCAGTTAAAATCTAGTGAGTGCTAGGTGATTATTTATGTCGCTTGTGCTATAACGTAAATTCGTTTCCTTTTTCTTGAAGAGCCTCGTTCTTCGTTAAAAATGAAATCCGGCTAGCGGGCTGCTAAGGAGCCGATTAAATCTCCATCCACAAATGATTGCCTGGTGAAGAGATCTCGCTGTAATATTTAGTGGTGTACCAATAAGTTAAAAATGATTTTATTAAATGAAGAAAACCTATCATATTTAATCCAAGATTCTATATTATATAAGAAGGCGAATGGCTCATTAGTTGTCATATTGGAGTCGGCATTCTGCAGGAATACTTGTTTTTCAAAAATCTAGGTGATCATTTTAAAATAAAACTCATTTGTACATCGTCAACTGATTTGGCAAAATTTGTCTTGTTTGACAAGTGAAACAAGCTTAACCAGAAATAGTGAGCGCTATATAATGTAAAGATTCAAACGTAATTAAATATAATTTATCGCTATATTAGATTTTCCTGTAGAATTTATGGATATTAAAGTTATTTACCTATGCTTGTGCTTTGATAGGAATATTTTTAAAGCAGTTTAGGGTAGCTATTCCTATATATTTAAATATTTTATTTATGTCACAGTTATTGTATGCAATTCTAAACTTGTCAATTGATCGGTTGTTATTCCAGAGAATTACTTTACTTTATTAACATTCGGAAGTTCAAAAAAATAATTTATACGATGAGTTTTGATCCATCATTATTGAGTCAGAATTTGGCTGTTTACTACAAGCGTTTATTTCCATTCAAATTATTCTGCAAATGGATGTCATATGGAAAAAGTTAGTTTTTCGGAATCAAATGAAAAGTAAAAAACTTGAGAAATGATTTTCTCCTTCATTTCGGCTTACTGTTTCAACTTTACAAATAAAACCGTGCGACTCATTGACTCATATTTCGATTTAGAAATCCATTGGCAAAAGTAAATAAGCCATAAAAAATAAAATTTGATTGCCGCTATCTCGGTTTTTAAATCTCGGATCTGGCGATCAGGCGAAACTGGCGGTCTCATTTTAGTGAAATCAATTAAAAGTTTGTTTGTAAAGGAAAAATTAAAGCACCTGAAATTCAAAAAAATCGATAATAGGGGAATGATGGTTAGTAAAATTTGGATTTTATAACATTTTAGAATTTATTAAATTTTAGGTTATTCCGATTACTTTGCTTTACGAGAATTTGCCTTTATTATCGAAGGCGATATCTATTTGAGGTATCGAAGCTTTAGCGATCCATTGGAATTTGAACGAGAATTACGTAAAGTGAATCCCTTTAAACTTGACATTGGTGCTGTTTTTAATCGAAAGGTTGTCATTTCCATTTGCTTCTTATAATTTATATAAATTATAAATTATATTACAAATATTTTAGGTTTTCTCGAAAATATGTTTTTATGAGAATTTAGTGAAGTGGTTTTATATAAAATGATTCATTTTTCTATATAATAATATTTTTATTTAAATTAGTTCAGTTTTTTAAATTTGTCCAGTAGTTAATCAGCAACTTGAAGTACCATTGCATACCCTGTGAATTTTATCAGTTATTAATATAGCAAGTGGAAGATGGTCCATCAAAGATGGTTTTCGAATTTTAGAAGTGGTGTTTCAATTTATAAAACACCCAAAGATCCAGTAGATTTTCAAAAATTAATGAAGATTTTCTATGCCCACAGTAAATGTTGATCGAAAAAACTGATGAAATTACAAAAAAATACGTTAGACAAGAAATATTTCATCCTTAAGCCATGGAGATAACAAATATCAACGGCTTTATAGTATCATGCAAGGTCAGAACAATAAATAGTTTAAATACTGGTGGAGATGGGCTTATCACGCGTATTCTTGATTATTATAAATTTATAACTTTTAATGATTACGTTTGTTCCTTTTTGAATCTCTAATAACTAAAATTTATCTTAATAATAGAAATATTTCCCTTTTAAATCTATACTGCCCATCTGGCTATGGAAGCAAATTCACTAGGGATCTTTACAGCCTGTTATTTAGATTAAAATTGTTTGGTGCCGATTATGTAATTGTTGGCGATCTTAATATGCCAAACATAGATTGGGAAAATAGTTGCTTGAAAAATAGTAATTTTTAAAAATAGTAAAAATAGCAATAAAAATAGTAATAGCAAATTTGAAGAGGACTTTCTAAACCTTTGTACCTATATAGGTCTAAAACAACATGTTAAGATTGCCCACTATTTTGGATGTTATGTTAGCTGCTTCTCCTTCTTTTGTTGATAGTATAGAGTATTGGAGCCTTTTTGTAATAGTGATCACAATATCATTCATGTTTCATTAAAATTGGACTGTTATGTACCTCCCTTGAGATATTCTAGAAATTACCGTCACTTATATTACCTATTAAGCGCTTGTAAGAGCTTTTATATATCTCTTCTCTTTTTTCGTTGCGACTTTTTGGTATTTATTATTAAATCAGATCGTTTCCTTAGAATTACGTATTATTTAGTAAAGTTGGTGGTAAACTAATGCAACTTGATGACTTAACGGTGCACAATGAAAATAATATTCTATAAAGTTTACTAGAATTGTTTATCCTTACTGGATTTTTTAGCGCTATAAGAGACTGGAATAGGGCGAGTAAAAATTTGCAGTAAATTTTTTAACGCTTTTTTTTAGCCAAAAGATTCAAAAAAATTTGCTGATGTTCGGCCTGTTCATCGTGAGTTTGTTATTGATATCGATTTGTCGGATTACGATACTATCCGTTCATGTTGCTCGTAAATTTTCAGCTCTTTTTTATTATTTTCGTTTCTACTCACTTAATGAATTACACTTAATGATGAAAAAATAAATAAAATGAATTATTTTCTTTCTATTTTCTTGAATAATTTGAAATCTACAAATCGAGAAATGTTATTAAAATTTTTTTCTAGGGAAGCGAAAATTTGTTTTAAATGTTGGCGATGGATTACAATAGCTGTGAAAGTTATCAACCACATTTTAAAAGGTATATTTATGTTATTTTTTCAGTATTTCTTGCAAAAAAATGTAGTCATAATCTCTTGGGATGTTATGAGAAAAAATTTATAATCGTATACTGCAAAATATGGAAGAATTTCCGAAGGTTTTTGAATTTTTTAGGACATTTTAATTGGAAACACTGCTTGTGGGTATTTTCTGGTCGACGTGGAATACACTGCTGGGTCGCTGATGAGTCAGCGAGAAAACTTTCAAATGCAGGTCGATCTGCAATCTCTGAATATCTGACACTATTAAATGTAAGGGATTTCATAAAATTTTTAACCTGAATTATCCGGAAAAATTGCATTTCAATTAATTTAACTCGATTTCCAATTTTTTCGAATTATGAAATTTAATTATCAAATCTATCTGCAATTATTTGATTTATTTTTTTTTTTTTTAGGTTTTCTGCGTCCTAATCTTTTTTTTACCATTTATATACTATTTTTTTAAAAATTGCCCAGAATTTTACTCGAAATAATCTAATTTATTTTTTTTTCATCTTTTAGATTTAGATTTATTGAATGGCATTATTGACAATAATATTACCATTTTCTTTTCTTTTTATTCATTTGGCTATTTGGCTTTCCAGCTTTATGCCTCTCCTGAATTTAGCCAAAACCGCTCTTTTTTCTGCCATCTATATCTGTATGCCAGTAGATTATATGTGTTTCAAAGGCTTTGCCGGACTCGTGATTATTTAAATTAAAAACAATGGATTATCCAGTTTTAGGCGCTTTTTTTTTATCACAGAATTTGATTACAGTAATTCAATTCAAAAACTGTATGTCCATATATTCCATATATACATACATTCCTTATATGTCAGGGTCGAGAGAACTTTAATGATTTTGTTTGCAAGAAGAAGTATATTCATCCTATGATTGAAGATGCTTATCAAATCATTATGGAGAGGTAATACTTTGTTGGTATTTCTCTTACTTTTTGCTATAAGATTGATGAACTGAATATTTTAAGCACTCCAACATTCTAATTTATATTTTGTTTGCTATCCTTTTATTTTTTTCTGGAGCTTATTAATTTATTGTTTAAGTGATGAATTCAATAACATGGTTCTTGAGCAAAACTGGATGACGGATAAGATATTAATGCATCTCATGGATGATTGCCCTAATCTTGAAACAAAAAAGCAATTATCACAAATTATTAACAGTTTGCAGGAGTAAAAATTTTATAATTTTTATCTTATAAATTTTACAATTTCTTTATTCATTCTTAATTTTCAATATTTTAACAGATGAATTATTTCAACTACACTTTCATAGATTCACTACTGCTGAGGAAAAATGGGATGCCCTAAAGACCGCATTACATCGAAATAAAAAATATTCTCTCCAACATTCAGTCGAAAATGAAGTATTTTTATATTTATATGGTTACTGAATAATCAAATCTGGCACCATTTTTGGTGGTTAATTTTATTGACTATTAGTATATGATGATTAGGGAATTTGTTTTGCCGAATAATCACTCGGGAATAAAGGTTTTGTTGGTATCTAGCAGCCTCCCGGACTTTCGATTATGGATTAACCTTCCTTAAAATTCCTTTCTTAAAATTCCTTAAAATTTCTGTTCGTTTTATATGGATTAACAATTTGCTATCGAACTAACAAGTTAATTGGTTAATTGATAGTTGCTTGTTTGATTTTGCCAGTTTATTTAAAGCATTGAAGCATTATAATAAGCTTTGATAAAAATTTTAATATTTTAGTTTTTGTCGCTAGCAGTAGCATGTTTCAAAATTTTTGTATTAAAACATGCTTATCCCCGTTTGGATATTAATGTCTCAAAGGATATGCGTCATCTTCTGAAGAGTCCATTTTGTATTCACCCTAAAACGGGAATTATGTCTGTGCCTATTAGTCCGCAACAAGTCTCAAATCTCAACATAGATGACTTGCCTCGAATCGAGTATGTTCTACAATTATTATTACCTAAAATTACTTTTCAAAATGCGTTTTCTTTATATATGAATAACATAAAAGGTTCCTCAATTGACTTCATTGGCCATTAAAGGTGGTGTTTCTAAGTTTTCCCTTCGGTTTTGTGCCTAAAATCAATCAAAGCCACTTTATTTTTCATTGTCTGACAGCTAAGAAAATTTCAGAATTTAAAAATGAAAGTATTGATTCCAAAAAAGTGCTATTATGATAAAATATCACTTACCTTTTTTCAGCCGATTGTTGTCCGAATTATCCAAGATTGACGTAAAAAAAGAACCGCAGGATGAAAACCGCAAAATCCTTGGTAATATATTCATTCATTTTTAATTATAAAATTTTCATAGTTTGTGCGAACAATTTTCCGATCAAAAAATTTTCGTCTTAATGAATTAATGAAATAAATAATCTTTAAGTATTTTTGTTATTTTTCTTATTTTTGCTGATTTTTTTTTATTTGTAGAATATAAATATACTTCAATGGCTCCATTCGTGCAAGTTTTTGAAGATTTTGTCTCGAATCTACTTCTTGATATTCTTGAATGTTAAAATTTATTTGCTTTATTCATTCTTCAATGTTCTTTAGGTTAAATTTTATGCAAATTCTTATAATTTTACACTTCAGGCATATTTTTCACCATATGTCCACAATTTTCTTATTTAATATTTATTTAGTATTATTTAATATGACAGGTAACTATTTAATAAATTTTCTAAGTATTATTAGATTAATAATACATGGAATTTAAAGCAAAAAAAATGGAATTGAATAAAGTAATAATAATATCTCTACATTTATTGTAAATTTATTACTTTATTACTATTGTTTATTATTGTTACTGAATTGTATTATTATTATTAAATTGCTATTATTATTAATTATTTTGATACGTACAACAACATTTAAAATTGAAAAATTTTGAAAGATTATTTGAAATGCAAAATTTGAATATTTACATGAACAATTTAAATAAAATCGAATATTTAGATAAATTAAAGTAAATAAAAACTGGAAAAGGATACGCTAAAATTTTGCAAAGTTTAAATTACTTTTAAGTTAGCGGCATTAACTAAATATTTCGGTAGTGCAAATAATTTAAACGAAATCGAATTTTTAAAATAAATCAAAGAGGGATAAAGATTTATGGGTGGTAATTGAAGAAATCTGGTCTCCAGCCTTTAGATTAAGTTCAAATAGAAGTTCGACAGAGCACAGTGAATGGCAGATGTTGTCTCAACATTCTCGCTCATTACTCTTCGCCCATTTATGTTTATCCTTTATCACAACAAAAATAGGTGGGACAATTAATGGCAATGGCAATTTGAACTGGAATTATTCTTCCTGTGAAAAATATCCCTATGAACAACATTCATTTAGTTTGAATGCAATTTTACGATGGTTATCAAGTGAGTTTGAAAATTAAGGCGTTCCAGCACCGTGTTGCTTCAACTGGGGTCAAACATACCTGAAGGATGATTCATGAGTGGCTAAGTGAAATTAAGTGGAGTGGGGACTACCATCCTGAGTGGAAGTTTTACATTAGGGATCAATGGAACTAGCCAGAGAAATGGATCATGCCATTGGAAAAAGAAAATAGTAAAGCGACTAAGTCAACAGATTTAGGGTAACTTGCCATATAACTTTTGGATATCTTTGACCAGTGGTTCTAAATTTGTACTTCACCGCTGCTTAAAGAGTTCTAAAGTTTGCAAGCGATAAATCGCTCGGTTGAATATCCACAAATACTTTTTTTGCGTCTTCGTGGAAGCACGAATGGCAGGCGTCAATTGTGAGATGCAGCACGTTATCACACTTCCTTCTTTCATTCCTTCTGTTTTTCGCTTTTACTTTTTATTTCACTATTTCATTTTTGAAAAAGAATTTTAATTTTAACCAAGAATTTTGCCATTTTTCCCCGCATGCAAATGAAATCTTTATATTTTTGTCTTTTTTTGGGTTGTCTTGGAGCTGAGCTTGCCTTCCGGTCTGAGCCTAATAGACGACATAAAACCGAGATTCTGGAAGGGCTCTCAAAGTTGAATAACTTATCACTTATCACGAGTTCTGAAAATAAGCGAATAAGCAAGTCTGGTGAATTTCCAATAAATAAATTTATTCAGCGTCAGTTCTAGCGATTAGGTCGTTTCGTATTTGAATTTTAATTGACTACATTCCACACTGAATTCAATTTTCTTATTTAAGTACTAAGCCAGAAGTTCCCTTTTAAATGTTTCATTGCGAGTTGTTCGACGCAAAATAGTAGAGCTTAGAGGGACTGACAGTAGGCTAAAATTTGATAACTGGGTAATTAAACCTTTATTTGCAAATAGAATAATAATGTAGAAAAAACACTACTACACGTACCACATGTATAAAAAACGACATAATACTGAAGATTCATAGTGATTCACAAATTGGTGCGGTAAATACGCATCCGAATAGCGACATAGCGAAGGTAAGGAAAATGAGCGACGCGCGATGCCCACGCAAACCACGATGCACATGAACGCGAAAGCGTCCCTACCCAATGTCCATTTCATGCACTCCCTTATCTGTCCTTTTCCGCCACCTTCCCACTCCATACCACGAACCCCGAATGATGGCAGCTCGGGAGTTTATATAGGGTTTGCGATGGGCGGAAGGAAAGGTCATCTTCCTGTTTTTACCTTCCTCTTTCTAAAGATTTCTCCAATTGTCTATAATTAAAATTGTAAAATGTTCGCAAAAAATTTCAATATTATGCAAATTTTCGCTTCTATTTTCGGTGGCAATTTTTAACTCTTGCTACTTCAAGATTCTTGGCGCATTTGCTGGAAGGAAGGGATATATCACAGGAGCACTGCGATTGGTCCCTGATTTATGGATTCCTTCATGGACATTTGGCGACAATCCAAAGGACATATTTCATCATTATCATCATTATCCATTATCTTTTTATGCATGCGATATTATGCGCTTTTTGTTAATTCAAAACTGGAATTTGATTAAAATTAATGGTATGAATATGGAAATAGAGAAACCAGATTTTCCACAAAATCAATCTTTTGATAATTTCTGCGATCATCTGATATCTTAAACGGCACTTTTTTGCGATTGATGATAAATTAAGGTAATTTGATAATAGAGACAGTAGCGCGGTAGAAAGTGGCTTATCACGTTGAGAAAATCGGATTGATCATGGCGACCTACCAATATTTCCAGTTGACTCTCTGGCAAAAATTTCTACCCGCACTTACAGTCGTTAGTCTAATCAGGAATGCAAATCTGCTAGCAAGAAGTTCATTGGTATGCTGCCGAAACGCAAGTTGTTTCTTAGAGATTAATTGCTCTAAAATTTCAATAATTTAAATATTTTCAACATATAGTTTTTATAGCTTAAATCTATTTTTTCAAAAAGCTATTCTGTTTTCTAAAATTGTGAAAAAATAAAATGATCCTACAATTTCTTGGATGGCTGGTGAGGAAACATGAGATGTGTCTGTTATTTGGATTAAATAATTCTGATTTCAGTTAGATCTGTTCGTGAACTGGATCTCCCGAGTGATTCTATGGCGAAGAACCCGCTTATATTAGTTAGTAAGTTCAACCTAAGCAGATCAATAGGAATTTTCCGAAGAAAAGAAAGAAAATTCCGATCAGACAAATTTTTTTCTGAGAATGATCTCGAGATTCTCAAGATGGCCTTTTTTTCAATAAGTAGCATATGTATTCAAGTGAAGCCGAAATTCGGATTAATTATGCAATTTCACTACTTTTTCACTACTTTGTGGCCATGAAAAAAATTTCAGCCTTAAAGTCTGGATGAAGCCAATCCATTGTTGGAATTTTAAATTTTAAAATGTGATAAGAAAAAAATTTGGAATAAAAATTGAAAAATTTAGGTTTATCTTACCACATAAGCAAGTTATAAGAAGGCTTAAGAAAAATCAAATATATTAATTTTGAGGTATAAAAAAAATTTATTATTCAGTGGAAAAACTTTAAAAAAAAATTGGTTTTCATGCTCGTTAAATAAACAGAACCTAACAGATCCTAAAATAATGATAAAAATATGCTAAAATTCTATAAATCAATATAATTATATTGACTTATATAATTATATACTTAATATTGACTTATATAATTATATAATTGTATGTATACACTTATATACTTATATAATTAAGGCTATTATATTGAATTCAACAAAACGCCATTCCGGGAGAAAAGGAGAATTTTTCCTGAAAACGAAAAAAAGGCAAGCAAATTATAATAAAAAGAATATAAGGCGATATTCGATCGTATAACGAATCTTATAAGCTAATTATTCCCTAGACAGATAAATCGAAGAAAACAGAAGGATTAAGTCCAGCAGCGAAAGCCTTATAAAGCCTAACTTGAGAAATTCAAAGAAATCACGTTGACCTATTGAAATCTTATAATGAGATTTTGATGAAAAAATAAGAAAATCAGGTATAATTTATTTTTTTATATTTTCTACAGAAAATATTTCTTTTGATATTCACTTCCAACTTGTGAAATTTTTTCCGATTTTATTCGCATTAAGGGACCAGGGATCGAGTCTTATGATGGCTTAGCTATTTTCTGCGAGCCACTTTCTGCCTGCAAGTCTATTTAATTAGGGCTATTACAAAAGGTTCATTGAAAGTGCACTTTCTCCTCGATAAGTTGTGGTTAATTTTCAGTGATTTAAAATTTTCCAAAAAACTACTAAATTTTGCGATTAGCTCATTTATAATCGAAAAAATTTAAGTAAAATTTGATGTGATTTGAATAATTTCAGTGATATTTATTTTGCATGTGAGCAATAACCAAAAAAGATAAGCAAAGCCATATACTTCCATTTAAAGTTCTTCGCATCTTTATAAAATAAATAGATGGCCAGCGTTCACCATTTTAGTTGGGCTCGCTCCACTGGCTATAACTACGACGAAAAATTTTTGACAAGGAGGAGCCACTTGACGAAAGAAAGCGGGCCACCAGCACCATCTGGCACCAGCCGGCCATCACTCTCTCAATCTTATGTACAAACTGCAAATCGTCTATTTGAAAAAATATTAAATGTAATTTGCATAATTTTAAATAATGATTTATACAGCAGAATAATTTTGTCAAGCGGGAAATGACTGGTTTTAATGTGTTACAAAAAAAAATGAAAATTAAGCACAGCTGCTAAAAATTCCAATTAAATTTGTTTCATTTCTTCCTATATTATTTTATTCATTTGTTTCATTTTGAACTCGGATACTTTTAAATTATTTTTTTTTTAAATTCCAAAATGCATTCGTTTCAGTTGGTAATTGAGTTTTACTATCTCATGGGAAAGAATATTAATTGAGTAAAAGACAAATTCGGGACAAGAACAACGTAAAATGTACAATACTCGTTAACGGTTTAATGCTTCTTCGCATATTATTTCGATTTCTGATTTAAAAATCGTTTACGATTTATTAATTAATTATTATTGCTATTATTACTGACCATTTATTATTATTATTATTATTATTATTATTATTATTATTATTATTATTATTATTATTATTAATTA